AATTGTCAGCAACTCCGTTAAGCTTCACCCTTTGCTCTATTTGTTTTTCTTTCGTTCGTTTTGCCGCCTCTTTCTAACTCAGTGAGCCGCTATGGCGACGACGACTCAGTCCCCTTCTCCCAATTCCAACGACGATAAGCCACAAGCAGTCTCAGCCTCTCAGGTCGGATCCTTTTTTTTTTCGTTTCTCTAAGTTAGCGTATACAGTCTGTAAACTTTCTTCGCGTTGATTTCTACTTACAGAGAATTAAAACCCAATTTTTTTTAGATGGATTTGCTTACTTTAAAGCTGACTTATATGCAGTGTTATAAGAAAAAGAAAATTTTGGGTTTATATGTATGTGAAAACTGGGAACCAATTAAAAGGAGCAAATAAGGGGAAATTGTACATGCTCAGGAGAACTGAATAGTTCAGATCTGTTTTTTTCTTCTTCAAATCAAGGGATTCTAATTTTGGATACCATTTTCAACAGAGGTTGTGCAACAAGATGTTAGGCTAGAGGCTACTAAACAGAATTTTCAAGCAAATCAGGTTCAACAAGATATTAGTCCAGATGCTACTAAACAGAGTGTTCCAGCATCTGTGTTTGTGAACTCCGAACCGATAAGAGAGGACCAGGTTTCAAATGCTGTCAAATTTCTCTCACACCCCAAAGTTAGGGGTTCGCCTGTTATCTATAGAAGGTCTTTCTCGAGAGGAAAGGCCTTACAAAGGAGTAGATTGATGAAGCTTTTCGGTGTGTGCCGGTAGTATAACTATTTTGTTTTTTGTTCATTATCATGATATTTTGTTTCTGTTGATAAGTGTTTATAAGCATTCATTGATTCTTAACAGGACCCAACTCCTAGTTCACAACCACCTAGTTCGAATCCGGGTACTATATTGTAGTAGTGAAGTGGGAGTCAATCCTTTGTCTTCTTATTGCTGGGTCACTGAATCTATTTTGTTGCTGTATAATAATGGTATCAGATGGGCAAGCGAAGTCGTCATCAATCATCCAAACTCAGGCTTCAATCCAAGCACCCCAACCTATGGCAGCTGTTCCTGCTGGTATTGCATCTTCTGGGACAGTTGCACAGAAGCAGTTTCAGTGGTACCATGCGGTTTCTGCTGTAGGGTTATTGGCAGCTTCAGGCTGTGGCAGGGCTTTATTATTCAAGGTATTGATATCATCTACTGCTTCATTACCCAGAACAAAGTGCATCTTCTATCACTTCGTATTTGGTAAGATGTGTCATATTTTATTTCCCAATACTGTTTCCATCTCTTTGAGCTGCTTTTATCCGGATTTAAGTTTAATTTCATAAACTAGATTTTTCTCACGTTCAGATAACTTTTTTTTGGAAGTTATTATCCCAAAGTTGAAGTTGTGGATACGTAAAGTTGTACTGGAAGAAGAAAATGACCACACCAATAAAATTTACGCAAAACCAAGTTTGGCAGAGGAGGCAACAGCCGCAGCAAAAGCTGCTGCGGCTGCAGCTGCTGACATTGCAAAAGCGAGTCAGGAAATGTTGAACTCCAAAAATGAAGGTGGATTTGAAATGAACTTTTATTTTTTGTTGAATAGTTTCATAATGTTTCATTGGTCTTTTTGTTCTTGCACAAGTATCTTCTTGATATACTGAACCTAGTTTGATACTTGTCAGAGCGAAGCCGCTTTGAGGAATTTATGAATCTGATGGATGTGCAAATGCAAGAGATGAAGCCGATGAGTAATTCAATAAGAAAACTGGAAGGTACTCCTATACAATTTTTAGTGTAGTTGTGTCTTGTGAAATATTTGTTGGAATTTGATTCTTAAACGTTTCCTGTTGTGGCCATGCTTATATCTATAGTGTTGCATGTTAGACAATTCGTTCGTAGCAATAAATAAATGAATGATAAATTGATAATTAAGAGAAGTGATGTTTTGCTATGGGTCTACTATGACCTTAATTAATAAACATTGTGTTGGATATTAATTTAGCTGTAGATATTGATATCTTTCCTCTACTATGACCTTGTTAATATTGGGTGCACTTTATGGAGATGTAAGATAGAGATGTGAGGAACCCAAAAGAATAGCAAAGGTCTCTTAGGAAGTTAAGCTTTGGAAGAAGAGTTCTATTCTTTCCTTAAATAGCTCGATATATTGTTTGCTAAAGGATTTTCCCCCAGCAAGTAACCCAGCTTGACTACTTAGCAAGCTATCTTCATGTATTAATGGTGCTAAGAACCAACAAAGTGATGATTATTAAACGAATTCAGTTGCATTGGACAACATCCAATGTCATTTAGTTTCATCGGTACTGTTTGCTTACCTCATACCAAGGGCATCTTCTGAAATTATTGTCTTATTGCTGCCTGTTTATAATTTAGTTTCTTCAGAGGACAACCCAATTGTGACTGGTGAGGTGTTGAACGTCATTACTAATATTCTTTTTTTTAACTATTAGGACAAGCTAAGGTATGTGGAAAAGAAAATGATATGCCTCCCAACCGTAACCAGTTATTGTCAAATCCTCGCATAGCACCAAGATCTAAGGTCTGTTCTGCAGTAGGATCATTTCTCTTGCATTTTATTCATATATACTACTAGGATTCTACTTCAATGTGGTTAATTAAACATCTTTGAGAAGCAGGATATTTTAAGTATTACGATTGAAGAGTTTTTGGAGCCATAATCAATATATATACCAAATTGGTTACTGCTTATTTTCTTCAGTCAAAACGGGTAGTCCCATACATTAGTTTCTACATCCCGTGGTGTGTGGTGGATCAATCCAAGGAAAACTTGAATACAATCATTACCACCATATTTTCATTATTCTGGATGTTATTTGTGCCGAGAAATATGACTTGTAAAGAGTAATATCAATGTAAATCTGACCCCTCCCCTTCTCTGATTGAGTAGCCTGGGAGATTCAAAATGGCTCCCGCCAGGTACTCCAGTCCCAGACAAGTGCTGAAGGCTTGAATCAGAATGGACAGGGCAATGGGTTAAACTATCTGGTGGATGATGAGAGCTTGATGCCTTGGTGGCAACGGAAGAATGGCAGAATCACAGAGATTGAAAACGAAGATAAAGCCAAGGCTGCTGGACCTTATGGTGTGAGAACCAATGAACAACCACCCATTAAACGTTCATGAGTTCCTCCCCAACCACCCCCTTTGGCAATGGAAGAAGCAGCTGAAGTTATTTAACAGCCCAAATCAGCTCCCAAAGAAACCGCTACACAAGAACAATTGGCTGATGACCGATCAGCAGCTCGTCCCTCGGAGGTAATTGACGAGTTGCAGAGGATCACAAAAATGTCAGAGTCTGCAGGTGTAGTGGAGATGAATGAAGGTTTTTCAACCGGGAACTCCACTGTTATACAAGAACAGGAAAACAGCTATGAAGGGAACTGAAGCTGGACTCACTTTCGAGTGTAAGCATGATAAAAAAAAAATACTGATGCAAACCTTTTGCCTAAGTTATTTGTGTCAACATCTAAACTATTGCTGCAGTATATGTCGACCTTTCTCAGCATGACTAGTTCTTCATTATACACCAATAGTTATAATAATAATACATTGCCAGTGGTGTTATGTGGAAATATGATCTGGTCTTATAGCTCTTTGTTAGCAGGCTTTTGTGTGGTCGTTCTCGAGTCTAGTTTTCTGATGAATAAACATCACGTCAGTGCATGAGTATCTGGCCTGCCCTTAATTGCAGCTAACTTTTCGTATGAAAATTGAGAGAGGAATCCTTCAAATTCACCTACATTATAACTTCAGTAATTTATACTAAAAGAAATAGTAAATCAAGTGCATGTGTTTCATTACAAACTGGATGAGGATTTAGCTTCATAATTTTTCAAGTAAGATGGGATTTTATTTTATTTTATTTTATTTGAGGCTATAGAGAGAGTTGGCTAGCACTAATCAAGCAATACATCTTAATTAAAACAAGGGGCCGACCATTGTTTACCTCCACCAACTTGCACTACTTATGATTATTGCTGATTTATACCAGTTGAAGGCTTGAAGCTCTAACGGTGATAAGAAGAGCAGGTGATAAAGGAATGGTTGTACAATTTTCAGTTATTCGGTATTTAAATGATAAAATTTTAGGGTAAATTACACAAATGGTCCTCTGACTAGTAAAAGTTATAAATAGTCGTCTAAATATTCATTATATTTCAAATTCATATTTTCTTTAAAAAAATTAACAGTTGCGTGTTAATGTCCAGCTCAAATAAATATTTATAACTTTGATTAATCTGAGATAAGTATAAAGTAGTATTCGTTCAAAGATAACTCAATCATTTGAAATTGAAAGCTCACACCTTGACATTCATAGTGCACAAACCTGAGATCTCAAGGAAGAACAATTCTTTAACCACTGAGGTTGTTTGGTTCGTGTCACTTTATAAAACTTTAAATACGTGTATAGCTATTATGAACAACTTATTTAACTGTTAAAAATACTAACAGTGATTAAAATTTAGGATAATTATTTCATTTTTTTTAGCATGCCAGACCCAAGCTATCTATGCTCAATGTCAAATCAAAGCTAACATTTAAAGCCTAAACTAATGGCCAGGTTGACAGGAAGACCTAATAATTAGCAAACAACCTTGTCAGTGTGTGGCAAACACAGATGAACAAAGAGAGTAAATCGTTCCGATCAATGAAAGCAAAAGCAAGCAATTTCAACTGTATTTAGAGAACAAATGATAACAGTAGAGAAATGAATTATGATTTTGCTTTTGTATTAAAGGAAGAGGAATCTTGAAGGGAAAAAAGTAGAGGAGAAGATAGTAAGACGCATGGGGATGATTTGTTGACTATTGAGTTACACGAGGTTTTGAGTCTTGAATAATGGTGATATGAATTGTTAAATCTTGCAGTGTTTCAGGTCCATCTTGTGTGCTAAAAATCAATCCTTATGCATGACACAAAAATTCCATTGATACTAAATAAATGGTTTGAAGAATAGAAAGGAAATAGATAAATACATTCACTGCTATAGTCCTACACTTGTACATGACAGCTCCTGAATTCCTTTCCAGCCAACTAGGGAGAAAAAAGTTAAGAAACCAAACCTATTTTCAACATAGTAAATGTGTCCGTTAGATGTATGAATATCAAGAGAATGCAACAGAACTTTCTGAAGCAGGACAAATTCGTATCAATAATAGGAAATATCATATAGCCCTTTGATAAACGAAAAACCATTCATTGTACCTTCCTTTCACTTTGTAATATGTCTTGGGTCTTCATTAACATGAGTTCTTCCGAGTGTATTTGTTAACCTGATTCCTATTCAAATAAAGATATCGGAACAAAAAGAAAAGAGACCAAATAAGCATTATAGATTGGCAAGCCGAAATAGAAAACAGTGTAAATATGAAAGCCCTGTTATACTCGGGTTTATGAACTCCATTCACAGCTGTCGTTTTTATCATCTGAAAGTAAAATTCATCTGGGTTTCAGAATACAGCCTTCTCCTTGAGTTTCTGTAGAGCAAATCGACAAAAAAAAAAACAGAAAGAAGAAAAAAATTATATATTCATTAAATTATAGATGGCACTCATATTACAGTCTAAGAAGCAAGAAATTGGATGAGATAAACAAATGAAATTACCCGTAACGTCTCTTCCTTGTTGTGGAAGGCTTTGGCAGGGACGACGTAGTCCCTGTATTTCTCGATGACCTAACGAATAAGCCACAAGGTGAGGATTTCTATGAATATGAAAACAGAAGAAAGTGGTATAATAATGGTAAAAGCTTAGACTCGCGGTTGAGTTCGTTCCTTAGTGATGACATTTTTTAGACAACGTAAAGCAAGCAATCACCGGATGTTGCAACCTGGTTTAGGATTGCGGATGAAGCGAGTTAAGTGCAAAATCATAATAGCCAAGGGGAAAAAGAAAGAGGATGAAAATGCTACCTCTTTCTAAGGCTTAATAGGAAAAAAATTATTTAAACTATACCTCTCATTTAAAATGTCTATTTTTTTTTTGCTCAATTTAGGTTTAGGCTTCTAATATTATCATTTACGTTTTTCGATAGACAATAATTTTTTTTAACTATTTAGAATGTGACATGAGGTGCTTTTATAAATTTTTAAAATATTAAAATTAAAATTATTATTTAAAAAAATCCTTAATCCCAAAACTTCACCCCACTCGTCGACCGTCCACCACTACTATTGTTTCCATCGACTGTCTATCCACCCATCGTTAGTCGTTAATCATAACTTCAAACCCTTAAAATCCATAAACTCAAATCCCTAAATCTCAATACATATCTATCCCGATTGATATGTAAATGATCGGAGGATGGTCAACCATTGAGTGATCACTGGTGATTGGGTGGTCTCCAACCGTGCTTGAAAATTGAAAGTATTGGAATATTTTATAAAAGAAATAGGAGATCTTAGGAGTTTTTTTCTACAAAATTTAAGAATTTTTTTTTAAAAAAATTAAAGAAAATAAAAAATTAAGTAAAGTACTGATTAGTTAACTTATTTTAACAGTCGTTAAGTTATTGGCACTTAAATGATAACATTATAAACGTTTAATACTTAAATTGACTAAAAATATTTCAACACCTAAATGTAAAAAGATATAATTTCAAAACTTATTTTGATATTAAGCCTTTCTAACAAACTTCTAGAAGAAATTTAAACCCAATTTCATCTAGAAGCCTATTAACAACCTAATTTAAGCCGAATAGAGTATAATAGATAATCCAACCCAAAGGTTGTTCTTGGGTCTAGTTTTCCCACCAATAAAGATCTGATCATTAGTAAAACAAAATTCATGAGTTTAGGAGGGAGTTAATTGCATCATATGTCCTTAAACTATAACTCTAATTTTAAATTGGTTCTTAAATTTTTAAATATTTTAATTTCATCCCCAAATTATATCTCTCATTCTAAATTAGTCCTTAAACATTGGAGCATTATAATTTCATCCATAAAATATGACTCTCTTTCTAAATTAGTCCTCAAACTTTTGAATATTTCAATTTCATCCTAAATGCATTCAAATATATAATTATTTTCAACCATAATTTAACCTAAACTTTATTTTTTTCAAACATATTATAATAAAACTTGATGATTTTATTAACGAGGGATGTGATTAGTATATACATATAGTTTGAGATGAAATTGGACCGTTCAAAAAGTTAGGGGGACCAATTTAGAGTAAAGGTCATAGTTTAGGGATGAAATTAAAGTTTTCAAAAGTTTAAGGACTAACCTAAAAAGATAGTCATAGTTTAGGGGTGAAATTGGTATATTTAAAAGTTTAAGTGCCAATTTAAAATAAAAATCATACTTCGAGGATATATGATGCAATTAACTCGTTTAGGAGGTCAATTTTTTTCATATTTTTTTAGATGAAATTAGATCCACTATCAGAGGCTATAGACCAACTCATTCCTCTTAAACAAAACAATAGGCCGACCATTGTTTACCTCCACCATGTTGTCCCCTGCTTTGGATTATTGTCGTTTTACCACCTCTTATTCATCAACTATTTCATACATTAATTCTTATAACATGATATTTGCATGTGAATTTCCCCTTTCTTTCGGTGTTGGTTTGTATACTAATAGAACATGTCGGATGAGATATTTCTTGGGGTTCGAGATTCAGAGAAACCTGCCCTTGGCCTAAAACATGAAAATGAAGTCGTATTCTGAAAAGAAACTGCAAAATTTGGAGTCTACATATTTACTTATCCTCGATCAATTAAAAAACAACAGAATACATTTAAGTTTCTAACAGAAAAGAAACTCCAGGTTTTCATCATCATCTATCTGCCTTGCGCCCCCATTCAGCGGTTGCTCACTCGTGCTTTGTATTGCTGCAAAATCAGAATCAAATCAGTGACTGATAGGCGTAAAATGAAATTTAGCAAAACCCCTAGTAAGAAAGCTTTGTATTTTGATTACGTACCTTGGTCCTAGATGAATTGATGACCGCAATCAACAATTTGTCTCCGGCTAATTGTCTTAAAATTTGTATGAGTTCACGCCTTGATATTTTCTTATCCTGCCCAACCAAACATAACATTCTAATTTGCAATAACTGGAAACATGAAGAAGAAGAAGAAAAAAGTAAGTGCACACACTTACCCTGTGATCCCTATAATACTTGGAGATCAAGTTCATGTCAGTTGGAGGTAAGAACGTGGTAAGTGCAGATATCAGAGCAGGAAATGATATCCATGGTGAAGTCGGCATCTTCAACCTATCTTGCATCCCAAGCAACCCTACAAATAATCAAGTCTCAAAGTCAAAACCCAATACTCACAACCGACTTTCAAACTGTTCAAACCCGAAATCGCTTACCTTTCAAAGACGAGGGAGCTCTGAAACTCAGGATGTACTCCGGCAATATATGAGTATTCAAATGCGTACTCCACACAATATATTTCTTCGGCGTGGACAAGTCGTCGACGCCGGAATCAAACTCATCTGAACTCGGATGGCATTGCGTAGAACCAGGCTGTACCAATTCTGCCTTCCCCAATATTACGAGGCAGAGCATCAAATACCGCATCCCATTACTATCAACGATGGTATTCTTCACACTGAAGCAAAACAAACAATCAATTTTACAGGCAGTCAAAGACTGAACATGTTTCTATAATTAGAACAATAAGTAAGAGATGGAATTCTCATGGTGTTGTGCATTTTACCTCTCCATTGGAGAACCATCGGGGGAAAGGTAGACGCCATGACCATACAAACTGCTGTTTTTGGGCAACCCGCTATAGCCAAAGCCATGCTCAACGATCCTAGAAATTTCGTCCCTAGTGGCAGCGCACCAAGCGTACTTAATATTGGCATCGCCGCCGCATTTTTTCTCCATTGCCTTGGTGAAAATCTGGAAAGATTTCAGCCTTGCCTGCCAAGTAAAGCCAGAGAAACAATTCTTCTGGATGGTCAAGTCATTGGTATGAGCCGCCAGAGAACCCAAATTGGAGAGAAACCTTTTCTCGATAACATCATGCGCTTTGTCCCCACGGGACAACCGAATCAACCCATTGTTTGACAGGGAAGGCTGATCAAAAGAGGGACCAGAGACGCTGCTTTCGCAATCGGAAACAACCGATTCCTCATCGTTTGCAGCGTCGAAAGACGTCGAATCCATGGGAGTTCCGTCGGAGTCTCGTGTTTGGAACGAAAATTGGTTGTATTGGTTTTCAACAAAAGCCATAATAGCAAGAACTAAAACACAAAATTCAATTTACAATTGTGTCCAATGAAAACGGAGAGTATGAACAAGAAGAAACTAAAAACGATTCATCTCATAAGAAGAGATGATATACATATAATAAACAACAAATAAGAGTGGAAAGAGTTGAAGATTAAATATAGGGTGTGTAAAGGGTTTCTGCTTGGAGAAGAGAGAAAGATAAGAAGAGGCGTAGTTTAAATAGGAATGAAGAGAACAGACTTCTAGAAGCAGTGGGAAAGAAGGAAAGAGCGGTGGGCGGGTGCGCTACTTGTTTTTATAACTACTTGCTTCCCTTTTATAATATGCGAGGGCGTCAGAGGCATACCGCTTTGGGTAATAAAAGAGGCGGTTACCGCTTTGGGTAATAAAAGAGGCGGTTCATCCTGGTATTTTATATTGCATATATGTAGCTTGATGGGTTTTGCCTTTGGATTTGGACCAACCTATTAAGGTATTGGATTTGGCTTTGGGACCAAGTAAAGGAAATGGGAATACAATAATACTATGCCGTGCGCTATTATTTTATTTTTGTATAAAGTATCGGTTGAGATTATGGGATAATATTTTTATCGTATTTCAGTCAGTATGTTAACGTCCAATTCAGACTCATTTCATTTTTTAACAAAAAAGATGAACTTGAAACATAATAAATAATACAACAACAACAACAACAAAACCCTATTATCATATGTAATGGGGTAAGAGGGAGGTAGGGTAGTAGGCTGTCTCCAACGTCAGGTTGAGAGCAGCTTCCGTGGAAGACCTCCGACAGTCAAAAAATTAAAAATAAAGATAAAATACAATGTATATATAAATAAATAAATAAATATATAATTATACAATCTTCATATATATACGTCTGTAATGAGAAAAGTAATTACACGAGAGATATTGTGGGAGACAAATGAAGTTATTGTAAAAACCCATAAATGTGAAAGCTCCAAAACAAATACAATTAAAAACTCAAAAGTAAAACCCAGAAGACAGAATCCTTTTGTTCAGCAAAATCTTCTAAAAAAGTGGAGCGAATACTATTTTTTGCTTATAATTTTCGAAAATCAGAGAACAGTTTGGATAACGGCAAGGTGGGATATTAAAAGAGATCTTAAGATCCAAAACTGTTTGCTTATAATAAATAATACAATAACTAAAATTTTAATAATAAAAAGTCTCAATAAAATAATATCATATAACTAAAAGATTATTTAATAACTTTTAATAATTGATCACTCATAATACAACAATCTAGGAGATTATTTGTGTTTTTTATTTTTTATTTTAGTATTTACGACGCTAAACCAAAAAATAAATATAGAGCTGCCAATATCTTTCACTGCATTTAGAGTGACCGGATACGTATTTTTCACTGCAAAACATAGAGCTGGATTTGACGTTCGATGGATGGGATGGGAGTGTGTGTGGCTTCCAAGGAAAATTTATTTGTATTTAACATCACATGGTGATCTTTCACCATTGGCTTTTGGTAGCACATGGTATTTGCCCATATTTTTTTAGGGTTATCTCAAAAGTAGGATCTTGGATTAGAATCTCATTTATTTTTACACGTATTCCCAGAACTAATATGATAGATATTATCATGAGATTTTCTAGGCAATAGGATAATGAAATCTGATAGGGGTCTGTTATTCTCATTGAAGCAAACCGACCATTCTCATAAATTTTTCTACTGAAATTATTTAAGCCTGTTTCTAGTCTGCAAGGGAATGGTATATTGACTTATTTGCTTCAATCAAGGAATCATGTTCGGCTGTAATCACTTAAAACACGAAACAAATACAATATTTAAAAACAATTAAAATATGAATTTTGAAAATAGTATTCCTAAGATAAAAATGTTGTAAAAATAAAAACTCCCGATCATTTTATATTAAACGTATGCATTCTTACCATCGTCCTACTACCACCCATTATGAATAGACACCATGTGCTGCCGTACTAATCCTAAAGAGTACATAAATACAACATACTAGTTCAAAGTAAACTATTGAAACATTAATGTAAATGATGTGGAGAAATAAACATATCACGATATAGAATAGTAACATGAGAAGTAAAGGGAAATTGTTTATGGCCCAAAATGAAAATGCAAAGGAATAGTTGGCCGAATTGGGCTGTCGGATTTATTGGTAAAATTACCCACTTCTTGAAGATGGAAATATAAACAAATATTTAGGTTTAATTTTGGAACTTAACGTCAAAGGGTGCACTCTTTAACAGAGCATAAGAGCCAGAGGGCCCAATTCCACAAAGCAGTATTCAGCCACAAGAAGCGTTTATGCAAGGATGCGACCTTATTTGGTATCCACTTCATATGTCAAAGCAATTGGCAGTCACTCCATTGGAGATCACACATGTAATGGATGGTAGGGTTGTGCAAAAATTTGATCCGTTAATCCAGTGATTTAATCTGAAATTTTGGATATCCGATTCATTTTTTTATTTTCATATAATTCGGATCGGATATTCGAAAAAAATCAGGTAACCGGATCGAATACGGATTGGATAAATTCCATTTTCGAATTATCCAAAAATTTGGAAAATTTTGGGCTTTCAGATTTTAGATACCCTTTAGCCCAATAAACGAGTAGCCCAATAAAAATTAGGATATTTAATTATTTATTGTGTGTGAGTAATTAAATATACATAAAAATATAATAGAGGTATTGAATAAGTTACAATAAATCAAAAAATTTAAAATTATTTTTTGTCAAATTAAATTTTATATTCGGATCCGAATATCCCATTCAAAATTTCGGATATTCAATTTTTCATATTAGATACGAATAACTATTTTAGGTATCCGAAATTTTTAAGTATCCGAATTTTCAAATCGGATCCGATATCTGAATTTGCACACCTTTAATGGATGGTATAAACACGTGTAATTTAAATAAGGGTAAACTACACAAACAATCACTAATGTTTGAGTAAGTTTTTATTTTCCCCGCTGAAGTTTTAAAAGTTACAAATGGATCACTAATGTTATCGTTTTGTAACAAAATGATCACTCGACGTTAACAAGCGTTAACGTTGGTGACAGAAAGCTGAGCTGGACGATTAAACACTTACCTGGACATCTGAACTGTTGGAGTCCTTATTAACTAGCGCTTTGCAGATCTGCTTCTCGACTGCAACTGCAGCTTCACGGGTAGATGTGGCTTCACTTATATGTTGTTCTTCGTCTTCTTTAATCATCCTTTCGACGTTGGAGTTTCTCTTTTTCCTTATGCTTTGGCTTTTTGTCTCTATCAATTCATTTACAAACTTAACATCTACCACAATTTTCTCTTCATTCTCGTCGGTCTGCTGACTGCTCCAAGAATCAACAAAAACAAAATGTTAAGTGTACCTTAAGTGGCCATTTTGTTATAAATCAATAACGTTAGTGATCAATTTGTAAAGTTTGAAACTCTGGTAAAGAAAATGAAAACTTACTCAACATTATTGACCTTCTATTTGGTTTACCCTTTAAATAAATGCTAAGAATTTATTTAAGTTCAGTATTAATTGTATTTGTAAATTTTATATTTTTCGTTAACGAGGATAAAAGTGACATTGATGAACTTGTTCGGGTAGGAAGAGGATGATGCCAAATGAAAATTAGCTATAGTAGCGGGCCTCCGAATCCAAATTTTATTGGATTAATACCGTAGCAAAGAAAGAGAATTTCAGAGCAACCATTCGACCAAAATAGTAATTGATGGGTCCAAGTCGTCTAATTAAAGATCATGTCCACCGACGTTTGAGATTCGTTTTCGTCAGAAATTCTATTTGTAAACGCCAGCCAAGACAGGGAATACGTTTACGTGGTCTTTGTGAATGCCGCCGCAGTCACCGTCGGCGGATGTATCTCTCGCCTCGCGCATGCGCCTTTAAACAAAGTCCAACTCACTACAGCACAAATTGTGTGACTTTTGTCTGAAATTGGCTTTTAGTTTATTATTTAATCCATCAACCCTATCTCTCTCTTTCGACACCAAATCTTTCAATGCACGAGGCTTAGTGGATCTTGGATGAGATCGGATCTGGCAGGCAAACTAAGCCTATGTTCATTTCTTTCCCCCTATTTTATCCACTTGGTTTTCACACTAAAAACACGTAATCTTCTCTTCATTAGGGGTGTTTAATGAGTTGAACAATTCGTAAGTAGTTCGAACTCTACTTGATCAAAGTTCTATAAAAATTTAATTCGGATTGACTCGACTCAAATTTGAACTCGACTCGAGACCTTAATAAGTTAAATCGAGCAAAATCATATTCGACTCGATAAATTCACGAACAATTCGTTAATTTTTTATATTACATTTTTAGTAATTATCTTAAAAAATATTTCATTAAAAAATTACTAATTTATTAATAGATAATAAAAAGATAATAAATTATTAATCTATTAATTTTTTAGTAAACAATAAACAATACTAAATTATTAATTAATATTTTACTATACTAAAAAAATCAAACCCTATTTATTATTTTAATATATTTGTATATTATTACTTTGAAGTTTAGACTTTGAAATTGTTTATACACTCTTTTGATAATTTTTTTAGGTTAAATTTTTTAATTTATGTTTTATATTAAATTTTATATAATATTAGTAGATTTTACTTATAGTTAAGAAAATAAAGTACAAATTTCGGTGAACTTAACACGCAACGAATCGAGTAATAAGTTTTTTTTAATGAGTAAGAATTGAGTAAAATTTTAACAATCTAAACTAATAACAAATAAAATCAAGTAACAAATTTTTTTACTTAACATGAATCGAATACTAACTAACTCACGATGGATTTAGACAAGCAACCCTACTCCCCATGAAATCAAAAGCAACTATTGCAGACGCTTTCTTTAGTTCTCCCCATGAAATCGTGGTCCCAAGATGAGCCACTTGATCAAGGGACCTCGTCTGCACCATTGCCTTCCATGTGGCCTAAAAAGAAAGCATGAATATAGATATATATTAGAGGATCAATGATAGTACTCTCCTTGTCCCTTCCCTCTAAGGCTAAGCTAGGCCCTAAGAGAACCCAGATTGACTGCACGTTTTACGAGGTTTGCTTGACCGCAATCAACTACGTACCCATCATCATTGCCTCATACATCAGATTCTCCCTCAGCCATTCGAAAGTGGTTTCATTTTAAAATTTGAAGGGTTTTCACTTTTTCTCACCATACATGTTATGCTTTTGGAAAATGGATAATATTCTTCCCTCAATGAGTCCCTCAGTTTTAGTTCTGGCTTTTCCTAATAGGGTGTACTACGTGTAACAATGTTGTTTACTGATTTCTCTACAACTTACGAGTTTCCTAAAGGTAAAGGAGGATGAATGAAGAAAAGAAAACCAGAGATTAAAAAGAAAGAGTGATGAATTTAATGGCCTTTCCTCAACTTTAGGCTGATCTTTAAAAAGAAAATAAAAGCAAATTCAAGATCAAGTGTGGCGGTACCGTCAAGCTGAAGTTCCATGCTTCATCTTTCTCTTTTTCGCTTATTGTTACTTTGATGAAAATCTGGGAATCATTTTGAACCAAAGTATGCTGATTTCAACTGATTATCTTTTAGTTGGAAGATTAAAGGGTGAAAAAACATAAGAACAGTAAGAAATAATACAAATGCTTGTGTGTCATACTCTTTGTTCAAAATTTTTTCCCACGAAACAAGCAACTAACATCGTCTTCCATCCATGTTTAAAGCTGTGAATTCACATTGAGGCTTTTTTTTGTCATCATCAGGCAGCAATGACAACTTACATACAAAATTCTTAAAGGTCCACTACCATGCACTATTCTGTGAACAACATGATGACCATTAGCCTGCTATATTTCATTGAAAAATATGATGTACAAAATTTAAGATTAATTTCAACACCGAGCATCATGAAATTAGCTACTTAATGACATAATAAATGATTGGTTATTGCGCCTTTGGTTATGATTGGGAGATGATTGTTGTTCCTGAAACAAAAGAGAAGAAAGGGGTTGATACTAAACGAAAATTAATGATGAATTTACTGTGTGGACCATGGTGAAGTGAGTTGAAGGCTGAAGCGTGGGGAACTTATTTACCTGTCAGTTTGTACTTTAGGGCCCTCGAGGCTAAGTGTGATGCTGAAGCTAGTTACAAAGAATCTCATGACTCATGAGGGTGCATGTTGTAGATATCAAGTGTCGTATTCAATTTTTGTCTGGAGAAAGAAACCTGCCTGATGAAGAATTTTCATTTAAGCTGCGTGTCTTGGGAAACGGACTCATTCTCCCTGTCTTATCTTTCATCACAGATGAACTAAACTCTGTTCATTTCATCAAGGAGTTTTAGTCCGGTAATTAGTAGAAGCAGAGCAAAGCACAGCAAATCACCAGGGGGGGGGGGAAGGATAGGTGGGGACAACAGAATTTATTCTTTGCTTGTAGTAGGAGTGTGATTGGGGTCCCATCCCATTGGATATTAGGCCCCACAAGTGGAGTGTTCTTTCGGTATGCCCTTCCCTTCCCACAAACAAAAATAATACTAATATTATTCTCTTGTGGTGGTCATTAAGACATAATGTGACGCCCACTGCCGTTATTTCTGACGTATTTGAACTTCTGTTTCCTCGGCTCTGCTAGCCCCAACAACACGACCCTTCAAATATTTGCTAGTCAAGGATAAGTGGACCCCTTGTCCTCTCATTTCTACACCATCGTGGGGCCTTCAAATCTCGTGTTTCACGACATCGACTCCCTGGGGATTTCATTTCTAGGAATTTACATACGTTTAACAACAATCTTCTTCACTATAATGCCACCATCATTCCATCACAATCATCATTCCCTTACTTCAAATTTGATAATCCCTATAAATTAATACTATACATAACGAAATACTCCCTACTATATACTCTATACTCTACACTCTACTGTAGTTGTGGTGCCTTTTTCTTCCTTTTTATTCACACCCTCCCTCCCTCCCCTTTACCTCACAAACCATTCCATTTCTGATTTCCTCCTTTTTGTTTGTTGCCATTACCCCAATTTAGAACAGACACTCATTGTTTTCTTTGCATATCTGGTATTCAGCTGTTACTGTTTTTCATTCAATGGGTCTTACTTCTCTGCGAGTTTGCATGGATTCATCTGACTGGCTTCAGGTATGCTTTTCCAAGCTATTAACTAAGTAGTATGATTTGTTTCCTTCGTTATACTTGGAGTGCTTACTGGTTTGTAACAATGAGAAGCATTACTCCATGCTTATGAAACAATGTTGGTTAATTTGTGTATAATTAACAAATGTTTTAGGGGACGATTAATGAGGAGTCTCAGATTGATTGTTCATCACTATCTGGGGATATGCTGACATGCTCAAGGCCGTTGGTCGAAAGGAGGTTAAGACCCCCGCATGACCAAGCTCTCAAATGCCCCAGGTGTGAGTCCACGCACACCAAATTTTGCTACTACAACAATTACAGCCTTTCCCAGCCCAGGTACTTCTGCAAGACCTGCAGGAGGTACTGGACCAAGGGAGGCACGCTCAGGAACATTCCTGTTGGTGGAGGATGTAGAAAGAACAAGAAAGTTTCGCCGAAAAAGTCGAGTACTGAGCAGCAACCATCCATCAACATTGCTGGATCATCCACTTCTCATAATCCCACCCATCTCCAGCTTTCAAATTTCCCTGATATGCACCTTAATAACGTACTCGCTATCGATGCAACCAACTTCATGGGGGGAAGTATGTACAATTCTCGGCTGGAATACCCAATGCCGATCGATTGCATGGAGAGTAAGTTGGAAGCCATAGTAGGGAGCTCCAGGAACTATGACTTCATGGGGAATGGTACTGAGTTGGGTATGGTTGAGGGAGTTGGAGATATGGGAATGAGTCATCATGACCTCTGCTCTCCATATGGGATGTCCCTTTATGGAAATGGCGGTACATTCATGGACAGGATGATGCTTCCTTATGATGCAAATGAAGATCAGGATGTGAAACCCAACAACAAACTCCTGTCCCTCGACTGGAAAGACCAAGGATATTCCGATGCCGGGAAAGACAATTATGGATACATGAATAGCTTGGGATCATGGAGTGGAGTGATGCAAATTCATTAGTCTCAACTTTGGACCCATCTGCAATCAACTACTACGTACGTACTTAAAATCCTGGAGGCAGCTCAAAATGAAAGTGAATTATATATAGTATCAAGGTCCAAGTAACAATGCATTTAATTGTTATTCAGTAGGTTTCTGATGTTATTTCGAGGAAGATATAGATTGGCTTTTCCCTTGTTTGTGTGATAAAGAAGAATGAAGGAATCGGATCCCACATGCATGATATGATCATTTTGGTTTGACAAGTTTGTCTCACATTTACTTTCTTTTATAAGATCAGTGACGTACTCTTCAATTCTATCTTACAACATTGCATGTCCATGTTCATGTCCATCCATTCATATCTTACAACATTCATGTCCATCCATTCTCACAATTTTTCTGTGGACAAAACCAAGTATTTCAAAGCTAAATTTATTATCACTTTATGATGTTAACTATAAATGTTAATTAATTATAAATACGAATATGAATATGAATACCTTATTTAGTTACATATCTCTATATTACTATTAAACTCAATTAATTCAGTTACAATAAATAAATAAGTTTAAATTTTAAATGATATAATGATAAATTTAACTTTTGATGTTTATAATATTTTTTATGACTTCTTTCAATTAAATTTTATTTTCATTTTTTAAAAAAATTAATTGAAAGTTCTAGAAAAAAAAATCTAAAGTCGTCTATCTCTTTCTTTATTCTTGGTTGATAGACGACGACACTAATTTTAGTGTTGATCTACGTTGTCAATATTTCTTTTATTTCCCTTATATCACATATTTGTTTTTTCTTTGTTTTTAATAAATCTGCCTTTATGACACATTTTCTTTGTCTTTTTATACGTTTTCAGTTGTTTTTCGTTTATCTTTTTTCAGGATTAAATTTGACATCGTCACGACTGATCAAGATGACACTTATTTATTATCACATTGATTTTTCCTGCTTCGGGTCGTAAGATTAAATTTGGATATGTGATTTACATTTGTGGATAGTTTTCTCACGTGCTCGACTTTAATTTGTGGTTTGTCGATGTTCATTCAATAGTTCGATCACTTTTGTGGTTCGTTTGCCGATACGGTCTCTTTGTATTTATCTTTTGTTTAACTTTTTTGGTAAATTTTTAAAACTTTTTTTTCTTATAAGTGGCTAATTTTTGTATCAATAGTTATGTGTTTAGTTTACCTTTATAGTTGTAAACCTAATTTTGAATATTTTTTTAATAAGATTAGTGGCTTCTATCAATTTTTTTAAAATAAAAAATTATTATTTTTAATTAAAATGTTAAATTAATAAAATATATAAATATAAATATTAAAATTAAAAATAAAATTAATAGTTTAATTTTATAAAATAAAAATTATATATTAGTTGAAATATATAAGTAATTTATTTTTTAAAAATAAAAAATTACTCCTAGCCTTCGTTCATGCTCTTCTAGTCATAAATTTTCGTTCTATTTGCATTTCATTTTACCCATATTAATAATTATTAGCTTTCTTAAAAAATAAATTAATTAAATGATTTTTTACATTTAATTTCCTCATATATGATGTGCATTTGACTAATATTAATAAAAAACTAATATAATAAAATAATAATATCAATATCAATCGAAAAATATAATTAAAAATATTTTTAGAAATATAATATCATTTGATTTAAAAATATTATATTATTATTTCTAAGTGAATAAATGTTAATATTATAATAATTATTTAATAAAAAATATATTACTTAATAGTATATCTAAATAATCATATATATATATATTAACCTTGTTTTAAAGTTTATCCCAAAAACATCTAAAAAAATATCCCAAAAATAAAGTTATATTATATAAAATATTGCTGGCTCGCTCTCAGCTCTCTTCACACATTCCCGCCGCCAAGCAAGCCTCTCACCACCGTTCTCTCCCAGCTTCGTACCCCTTCTCCTTCTCCTCCTCCTCCAGTTCCTGACCCAATCCATCTCTTGCCCTCAAACTTCCAACGGCCGGAAAGTTAAATAAGGTAATTAAAACCCTGAATTTGACTCGAAGATTTATATTTTGTGTTATAGCTCGTTTTTTGTTATGTGCTCTCTACCTCTGCCTCTGCTTTGCTTGCTATATTTCATTTTCTGTTTCCGATTGGTTGCTATTGATTTGAAATTCATTCGCGCCGCTGCCGCGACAAAGTTGCTCCACCGTTATTTGCAATCCTTTCACTAATCTGTTTGAAATAGAATTTCTTGCTGCGAGAGGTATATGAAAAAAAATATATTTATATGTGGAGAAGAAAATTTTTAAATACATCGAGCTTGAAATCTTGTATTGTAATTGAATTGAATTTTATTAGATAAATTAGTCTAATCAAGTAGCTCTAGCCGATGGATTATCTCTGAGTTCAAATCGAACTAGGACAATAAAACTTCATTGAGCTTGAGCTGAATTTTAGGTGTCAAGTTTGGATTTTAGTTTGAGCGAGCTTCACATTTTTTAGGCTCAGCTCAGTTACACCCTGTGACTTGCTCTAGCCAAGTTTTGAGATGCTTGTGCTGGCTTGCTTTAGTATTGTTTTTTTTTTATAGGAATAGGAGGCCTCACTAAAAACCTCCCTCTTAGTTGGCTCTTGTGAAAGAGGCAACTAGCGGAAGGAGGAAAAGAGTACCTCATTTTATTAATAACCCATAATTACATAAGATACAACTTACATAATAAACTTCCCTAGATAAAATACATAACACTACAACAACATAACACAACACCTCAACCAATCCCCTCTTTTGCTAACTTGTCTGCTTCCCTCTTGCTTTAGTATTGTTATCAACTTGTTTGTTGACATTTGAGATTGTAGAGCTTGATCTTTTGCTATTAGAACTACGAATCAGACACCATCCTAACAAATTACATGATTGTTGGCTCAACATTTGTTTTTTATATTTGAGATTGTCAGGGTTTGGTCCTTGGTCATCAGAGCTATGTGTTAAGCAATCTACCAACAGACAACAAACTTGTTTTTTGCTATTTGAGACTTATTGGTGTTTGATGCTTGGCCGTTAGACGTATGAGTCAAGCATTCTGCCAGCAGACTGTATGACTGCTAGCTCAACTGGCTATCTAGCTCAACTTGATTGTTGTTGAAGCTAAATATATACAGTTGCGATTCCAATGCATCATTTAAATATAACCATGCAAAGTAGAACATATACAGTTGTGATTCCAGTGCATTTGAATGACTTGGTTAATGTTCATGATCAGTTTTTTATTCCGACAGAAAACATCTTTTGTATGGATATCTAGATATAAGTTGCATTTTTTGTTAGCTGTGAGAATTGTTTTTCCTCTGCTAAATAGTGATACCTTTTCCTTTCCCTGCAGGCGAGCTCTTAGTGTTATTGAAAGTATTTAAAACGATAGACACCTTTTATTCAATTGGTTGAAGCAGAAAAATTTTTCCTATCCATATTTTCTGTGAATCATTGTGATCTGTGGTGCAAAACAATGAAATTGGTTGGACTTGTAAAAGCAATTTGTGTCCACCCCTCTGTTCGTGAAATAATGGGGCCTTTGCAGATCCGGACATTTCAGCATGATTTTGTTCCAAGAGATCCCAAGGCTAAGCCTAAAAAGTACAAATATCCACAATTTTATGATCCCTATGGCCCAAGACCTCCACCCTCTGATAAGATTGTTGAACTGGCAGAGCGAATTGCAGCCTTACCACCAGAAGAGCGCAGACAAATCGGCCCTACTCTTACAGAGAGGCTAAGCACCCAAAATGCAAACCATTGCAGATGAAGGAATGGAGTTGGGTTCACAGGGCGGAGTGGGTGCAGGTGCAGGAGCTGCAAAGGTAGAGGACAAGAAAGAGAAAACAGCATTTGATGTGAAGTTGGAGAAGTTTGATGCTGCTGCAAAGATCAAGGTTATCAAGGAAGTGAGGGCTTTTACTAATCTGGGTTTGAAAGAGGCCAAGGATCTTGTTGAGAAGGCACCCGTTATTCTCAAACAAGGGGTCACCAAGGAGGAAGCACATGATATAATGGAGAAGATAAAGGCTGCTGGAGGAGTTGCTATCATGGAATGAGCTCGGCTGCTTGGTTTTTTTGCTTTCTTTTCTTTCCTTTTTCACCTGCGTTGCAAGTAGCCATTGGATAATGTTGGAAAGCACTTTTACTAATATGAGGAAATGGTCTTTCAATATTAAAGTGCCATTATTTTTTAGTTTGACGAGCTGTTCATCATTTTCAAGTGTCATTAAAAGATAAGCTGTTGCATTTTACAGTAGGCAAAAAGAAAACACACCATGCAATCCAGATAATGAATAATTTTGGAGTAAGCCTTTGCATGAAAATATTCTCAACTTGAAGAATATTCATTAACATCTAAAAGCATGTTTTATCCTGATTATATTACTACTGTTGAAGATGCTGGTTGTTGATTACTAAACACCGTCTGCATTTTGTTCTATTCAACGACATCGAAAACTTAAAACTACTAATGAATGGTATATATGCTAAAGCTATGAAGTCTTCCAGGAGTTCTTTTTAATTTTTCAATTGTCTTGCAACAGCTCTTTTTTTAATGTGAAAGATCAACTGGCAGGAGCAGGTTCATATCGGCAAACGCAATCATATATCTTTCCTTGAATCAGTTTTTCTGCCAACCTCTGATTCTTCACCATTGCAAGCTGCAAACAAGGTATTTGAGTTAAAATTAAGAGTCAAGCAAACCTCTTTAAGTATTATATTTGATAATTTGGAAGAGATACAAGATCAGATGACCATACCTTAAGGGCTTCACATTTAAACCGAGCATTGAAATTGGTGTGAAGAGCTCTACCCATCCCTTCTAAGATGACCTGCATGGAACGAAATGTGTGATTTATACTTATTTCTTTCGGCATTTCTTAATATTCTCGAAACAGAAGAAGGAAAAGGCAAGGCAGTGAGAGCTATATCCGAATTAATGCTTCACAAAGATGAATGGGAAAACAAATAACCTACCAGGTCAGCAC